ATATATATATATATATATATATATATATATATTACAGGATCCAATTTGTAAATAGAATACATCTTGGAGACGGCTATCGCCGTATTCCCGTCCTCCTCCGCCAATCCTCTCGGTCCAAGGCATGCTCCTCCTCCAAACCTCTCGATTCCATTGCTCTTCTAATACCTTTTTCTTCTACCAGGGGGCTTCCATCTGTGAAGTTTTTGGGGCCAACGTTCGTCAGGCATTCTTAACAGGTGTCCAAACCATTTTAAACCTCTTCTTTCTATTCTGTCTATGACCGTATATGTAGCATTCATCTGATTTCTTATAGATTCGTTGGTTTTCCTTTCCAGCCTTGGTGTTCTAGCACTTCTTCTTAAATAATCCATTTCAATTGCCAACAATCTTCTTTTCAGGTCTGCATTAATTGTCCATACTTCAGAGCCATAACAAAGAACTGATTCAACCATCGTTTGCCCTATTCTTTTTTTGTTCCTTTTGGAAACGTTGCGATCCCACCATAAGGAGTTCAAACATCCTACAATTTTACGTCCCTGATTAATTCGGTGTTTAATTTCGGTTTCACCCAAGCCGTTCTTATCAATGAATGCACCTAAATATTTAAATTTTTCCACTTGTGTGATTTCCACGTCCTCGTCTATCAACACTTCAAACTATTGATAACTAGATATTCCGTTTTCTTCATGCTGATTTTTAACCCCCATTTTACATATTCTCTGTATAGACGCTTTATCATAAATTCTAGATCATAAGAATCTTGAGCTAGAACGACTTGGTCATCCGCAAAGTTCAGGGAGAACAGTACGTCATTTCCTATTGGGATTCCCATTCCCTGGCAGTGGTTTTTCCAATTTTGAAGGGCTGCCTCAATATATAAATTAAACAGTAAAGGTGACATACTGCATCCTTGTCTCAGTCCTTTAGTTACTTTTATCGGCTCTGATAGTCTATTTCCGATTTTTAGGTAAGTGGTGTTATCCCTGTATACTTCTGTGATTATTCCTAAAAGGTGTGGACTAATGCCGAGTTGTTGTAAAGCTTCCCACAATTTTTTCCTTGGTACTGTATCATACGCTTTTTCTAGATCGATGAAGGCTTGATGTGCTTCGTTACCAACCGCTATTCTTTTTTCTATAAATTGTTGGAGTATAAACAAGTTATCAGTGCAAGATCTACCAGGCGTAAATCCGCTTTGGTCTTCGCTAATTAGATGTCCTACATCATCTTGTATTTTTCTATTTATTATCTTTCCAAACAATCTGCCGAAAGTAGGTAGGACACTCAATCCTCTGTAGCAGTTAGGATCTTTTCGATTACCCTTTTTAAAGATGGACACTTGGTGAGCGGTTTTCCATTCAGATGGTATTTTAATTTGTTGGCAGCATTGATTCATTAGAAAAGTTATTCGTTCGATTAGGAGTGGACCTCCTGCTTTAAGTAACTCTACAGCTATATTGCCAGGTCCTGAAGATCGCCCGTTTTTCATTTTAATTAGAGCAGTACGGACCTCGTTGCTGGTAGTATTAATGTTACTATTTGTTTGTCTCTCCATACTGTATTCTTCTCCCATATATTCCAATCTGGACTCTTGGAGTAAATTTTTATAGTGATTTTCCCATTTTTCTATAGAAATTAAGTTGCTTAATGAGTTATGGGTGTTCTTCTTTAGATTAGTGATAGTTCTCCATGCTTCCGTTGTCTGAGAACCACCCATTAAATTTTCAACTTGGACACATTTTTGTTCCCAGAAATTGTTTTTTGCTTCTTTTATTTGCTGGCGTACTTCTCCGTTTTTCATTTGATATGATACTCTATTGCTAGATGTTTTATTTGTTAGCCATTTTTTATATAATTTGTTCTTTTCTTGTATCATTTCTTTTACGTTTTCTGTCATCCATGGTGGTTCGTGGTGTTTTTTGTCGTTGTTCTCTGTTCCTAATACTTCATAAGCAATTTTTTTTATTATCATTTTGAGGTTATTGTATTCTTGTTCTATATCCATATTTCTTTCCATCTCATGTAGTTCCCTTTCTAATCTACATTGAAAAAGATGTTTAATACTTGGTTGGAATAAAAGATGGAATTTATATCTCTCCATTTTGTACTGCGTAGTATTGTTTATAGAAGACATCATTATTTTAATTTGACAGGTATGTAAAAAATAACGTACCTTTATATTAGGCAATATTGACAAAGTAGTTCGACATTCACAAAAGGTCAAAATATTAACTATCGTCTGAAGAAAACTCGTCCACGATGAAGAACTATTACCAACACTATTGAATAATAAAAGGTTTAACAGAAAAATCCTCTCTAATGTCCAGATCCCACATTTTACTTTCTTCTTTTCTAGTTTTTGTAATTTTTTTATAAGTCTGACGTGACGTTTTCTATAGGAGTAGCTAACAGACCTTTCACATAAACTAATTTAAAAGTTAAGTTTTCCCTGGCTGCTTGATTTTTTATTTGAACTCATATAAGTTCGAAAGGATTCAGCTCACAATGATAAGCAATTATGTCAACTTTCCGCCAAGCAGTTGTTGGTGTCGTCTCCAATTGTCGACTATGGTAAAATGCATTGTCCATAACGACGACAGAATTTGGTTAGTGAATATGGGTTGGTATAGATAGTATATCCTAATCGTAGTCAAGTTATTATTACTTGCTCACTACGTTTGATTATTTGGTGTTTGGTGTTTGGAGATTCTTGATGCTCTACGACTCTCCCACGATACTCTTATGACCGCCGCTCAGGAGGAGGATCGTAAGTTTCTTGATTCCATCCTAGTGTTCGTGGAGTTTAATGTGATTTAGGCTTCTGCATTTAGAGAAGTTTACCGGGCCTCTGTAGTTGACAAGGGGACATCGGCAACCAGAATACTCTAACAGTTCGAAACTTTCTTACAATGACTTATCTTGCATGAATACGATATGTGTTTAGTGTATACCTCGAGTTCCACAGAGATGCCGGCACTTCACACCTTGCTTGTGTGGCCACGTTCACACTCCTCGAGAGGTACAAGAACGTCTACAGAGTGTTGACTCTTCTACTGCCCTCACCTCTTGTCACCACCTTTCGTAAAAAGATATTTGCGATCCTGTAAGGACGGTTGTTTCTGGCGACGAAGTGTTGCCCTAGCTCGGCCATTGAGTGAAAAGCAATCCCAAGCCCGCTTGGGACTTTTATTTGCTCTTGACCGTCAATGGCCCTAGGGAACGCTGTTTCAGTCTGACACAATTAGAAATAGTTTCAAAATCACTGTCTTTTTCCTATTTCAATGGTCGTGTCTATCTGATCAGAGAACGTTCTCAGTCAACACGCCGGTCCTTGTATCTTTATATAGTTCGAGTAACGTCGTAGCCACCACGGCTTCGTATTTACTCAAACATTAATAGGTTTTCTTTGTAGTTGATGAAGTCTTCTTGTTTCGACGTCTTCGACGAAAATCGTCACTTAATTAATAATAAAATTCAAAGTAGTAGTGATAATGGCACCAAGCCAACAAGGTCTAGCGTGGCTAGTAGTGTAAGACGACTAGGTCCCGATTGAAAGATGTGCTGCTCTTTTATATACTTTGTATTTGCGACTTTGCAACAATCTTCCTCCGGGAGACCAATGACAAAGTAGTTAATAACCAGCTTTATGATTGGCCGGCCAAAATAACAATCTATGTCGTGATTGGTCGCTATGGCGTCAGGAGTGTTAAGGTGGTGCCTACGGTTTTTAGAAGAATATCTTTTAATTTGTTGGATATGGAATTCCAGTTATTCTGCCATAAATTGGTAATATGTTTTCTGATAGGCTTTATGGTCGTTTCTTGTTAGCATGTTTGACTCAGGGATGCTTTCATCTAGTGCATCTTCATTCGCAAGTTGGTTTCCCTGCTTCGTTTCCTTTGATTCCCACGTGTGATGCCACCATCGAGCAAAAATACAGAAGAGGGAATGTTAAGGTAGTGGGGGCAAAAATATTGTTAGACGGGAAGTGCCATTTTGGGAGGCCACATTAAACAAAGAACGAGAGTCTCTTCCTTGTTTAAGAAATCAAATTTAGTTGGGTTATGTTATTGTTTGTCCCAACTGTTACATGAAAGCTTATTTATATTGAAGTTTTTTAACAATTGTGTCACATTTTAGACTATTATCGTTATTATTTAATTAAAACTTTCTCGACTAAGACACATTCTGAAAAATATTTTATAGCTACTGTTTTATGACCTTATTAAAAGACATGAAATATTTTCCTAATTAAACAATCATTATATTCAAATTTTCAAGCTTTGTACTAATTCCATTAGATAAATTAGAACCCCTACACCGCTCTATGATTATTGTGAAGTGTCGTAAAATTTAAATTTGGCGCCTTTGCATTTTCGGATATGTCCGCCATATTAAGAGGCCATGTTTATGAATTTTGGTCTCCTTTTCATAACGATTTGATTCCCTCTTTTGTCTTTTTGCTCGATGGATGGCATCCATAAAAAAGTCGTTAATATATTTTTTATTTATGATAGTATGAGTTCAATTTTATTATCATTATAATTTCGTTTGATGGATATAATAGCTGTCAAGCTTTTAGAGTACTTAAAGTGTCCAAAAGAGTCATACATATTTTTGTGGCCATTACTTTTCTACCATTCTGCGTTTCTTTCTCTCTATATTTCTACAAACTTTCACCATTAGTATTTATTGAAATGTATTTCAACTGTATTTATTCATATGGTGCATTGTTCTTTATTCTAGTTGTATTTGTCTGTGGAGAATGTGTTTATATTCTTGTTTGATTGTTAGGTTCTGAAATAGTTACATATTTCGTTTTTATTCCATTTATTTGTCACTGTCCTAATTTCTGTGATGATTCGAAGAAAAAATATACTTAATTTGCACAACTTGCGTCAATATCATTATGCTTGGCGTTTGCTACATTATTTTTTAACTTTAATTGGCAGTGAAAGTGTTTTGTTTCCTCCTATCATTGAAGCATATTATAATTTTAGGTGCTTAGCAAATCTATTAGCAGGTCTAGTTGCCTATCAAGAAGAGGTTGGAACTAAAGTTGTAGATGGTGTTTTAGAAGATATTAGATTAGGTATGGAAGTAAATCTTCCCAAGTACAACCAAAGACGAATAGCTCAAGTCAAATATCTTGGAGAATTATACAATTATAGAATGGTAGAAAGTTCAGATGTTTTTAAAGTAAGTATAATTATTAAGATGCGCAGTTATTATTCATTAACAAATCTAGAGACCAGACAAAAAGCAATAAACCAAATTGGTGTCATTTAAGTCATAGATTGCACCACTACTATTGTAGGAAGGATGGAAACGCACATGCTGCTTTCTGATTTTAAGTTACAAAACTACAAAATTACGATTTGAATGTAGGCAAAAACAGTGTACAAAACTTAGAGCCTTTCAAATCTGATACAAAAATTCCTAAATGAATGAATCCAGAAATGAATTTGGTATTCCTAAACTAATAATAGGTATAAAAGGATATCCCGAAAAACTTTTGATGAGGTAAGGTACAATGAATTTATAGTCCTTCTAAAAAAGGAAAAGAATTCGAAAAGACCTTAAATAAATAGAACAGCTTAATCTAGCAATAAAAGACTAGAAACTTTTGTTTTCAACACTTCCACAAAATTTATTATAGTTTATTATCACTACAGATGTTTTGGCAGAGTGCTTTTCTCAAATGAGTTATTTTTATTATGCGTCTACATTTTTAGGTCTTTAACTGAATAAGTTGAGGAGGGGAGAACTGTTTGTCTCAAGTTGGTTAATCAGAATTATATCTGTACGTTTAATTTGTTAATTTCCATCGATTCTAATAATGATAGCTTAAGGCCTTTATTTTGAATGTGAAGAATTTGTAATTGGTTATTAAAATAATGGTTATAATCTAGAACGTGAAGTGCATACGTAGAATCCGTTTTTATAGTATTAAAAGCCCTTTTTTGTTCTGCTATACGTTCGTTAATAATGGTTCTATCCGTTTGACCGACGTAAGTTTTATACACCACTGTGATTTTTCTTTTGGCTCTTGTTGTTCCTAATATATTTGCTTAAGTTGTTGTTTGTTCTGAAAGCTGGCGTTATTCCTTTTCTTATGTGTTTGGCTATTTTTGTTGATATGTTGCCTGTAATCGAGCAGAATGTTCTGGGTTTTTTCTCTTTTGGTGGAAAGACTAATTTGACGGCTTTCTTCTACAGTTTTTGGTTTAAAATCTTGTTTACTATCTATTCGTTGTATTACTATAGCCACGTATACATCGGCGAAAATCTGATCGGTCCATGAAAACCATCAAAATAAGATGGTTGGATCATGTGATGGGAATGGATAGAAGTAACCCTGTTAAAATACCTACGCTAGACAAGTCGATCTAAGAAGAAGGGGACGACCTAAAGTCATATATCTGAACGATGCCGAGGAAGATTTGATAAAGATTAGACTGGCAGTAACCTTTAACAGAAGATGTTAAATCATCATGTTATGACGAATGATTTTCAGTTGAATTGTGTACAAATACTAATAAAATATTCTGTATAAATAATCCATCTGAACAATAGCACAATATTTTTTAGGTTTTATATTCAATAATATCATTTGGAGTTTCAATGGATCCTACTGAGCCTTCTCCACTTGATCCGCCCCATCATTTATTTAGAATTCGACTGGCCTCCGTGCTTTTAGAAACCTGCGGTAAGTATATTTAAGTTACAACAGCTCAAAATTTATATAAAGTATAAGTATTTACTAAAAACATTTAAAATAATAATTGTTTCTTCTCTAAATACCTATATAAGTTAAAACACGCATATCTTAATAGTTTAAATTATTTAAAATTTATAATATATTGATAGAGAGACACCAGGCGCGTTAAAATTATAGCCAAAAACCCCACTGTAGGATCGCCACGTTCATAACATTATTTTTGACAAAAACTTTATTTCGTTCGTATATGCATAGGTATATTTTATATCAATTAAAATTATTTTTTTTTCTTAATATGATATTAATTAATATAAGGTTGCCTGAAAAAAAAATGATCGAAAATTAGGGTTGCCAGCTGTTAAAAACGCGAGGTATCAAAGGTAAAGTAAAAGACAGCTAGCGCGCAACGCTACTGGATTGAAGTGTCAGTTGTGTGAGTTGTATCACTTGTCAAACCAATGTCGTTGCGCCCTAACTCTATTTTACCTTATCTTTGATACCTCGCTTTTTTAACAGCTGTCAACCCTAATTTGCGACCATTTCTTCTCAGTCAATCTTATATAATACGTCCACTCTATCTTTTCCCGTGTGTCATGATTCATTTTCAAACAAGTTAAATTAAAATATTAAATGAAACTTACGTCGATGTAGAAAATTATTATTGATACATACTATTGTCAATGTAATAATTACGAAATGGCTATTATTCCGGAGGATGTATTTTATAATGTTAAATTTAAGTCCGCTTAGGTGGTGGTCATCAATCTCCTCCCTGCAATCAGGTGCGTAACAGGAAAGTAAAGTGCGCCTGTTATTTTTCAGACTTATTATTTCGTATAAAGTGGAAAGTAATAGAAAAATTAATTCTATTATTAATGGACAATATCGTGAAATCATGTTTAATGTGTTTAATTATTTTAAAAATATTAAGCTCGAATCAGATACCTTGAAAACTGAAAGAAACAACAGCTATACAATTTTTGAAAGTAAAACACAGGCGTCAACATGGTGGAATAATCAAAAAAATGTAATCATCATTATATTGGAAGTTTTAGAATTATATTGATTAAATAACCAAAAACAGTTATTTTTAATAATGTAAATTTTATGAAATAATAATTGAAGTCTAATATTCCACAAAATAATAATTTTAATTAAATATTAGACAATTGTACGCAACTGATATGGAAATACTTAAAATATTATTGATAGTTCAGCGGGTGGCAAAAGTGTATTAAGGGTTCATTATATATATATATATATATATATATATATATATATATATATATATATATATATATATATATATATAATGAACCAGAAGTATTTGCTGACCACGTAAGGAAGTAAACTTTAAATATTGGGTATGCAGCAATAAAAATGAAAGGTGTACTCTTTTAAATTTTTATTCCAAGCTTTCGGACATTGGTTATGTCCTTCATCAGGGAGCTACAAATGTGATGAATAATTTTTACAAATTTGTATAATTAATTAAAAATTCGATACTTACAAACTTAATGAGCTTGTATCATAAATGATTTTAAAAAAAATTTTTTTTTTTTTTTTGATAAAATTCATCACAGTCTGTTGAGCTAAAACCTATTCCTATATTTAAAATTTTAAAAAATTACTCAACATTCACACAAACTTAATTATTTATACAAAAATCTATGACATTGATATTGACATTGGCAAGTGAAAATCTCACATCCATAATATCAAGCAACTGCTAGTACAACAAATTATAGGCTTATTATTAGGTATATCGTGGAAATATAAATTATTTTATATTTGTTAATATCATTAGGAAGTGAAACTTCAACCTGTCAATGTTTTAAAACAAAACCTATTAAATTAACATAAATAAATAAGGTCGTAATTCTAAAAACGTTACAATTTATTGTGATTTTGTTTTGTATGAGAATAATAATAATAAGCCTATAATTTGTTGTACTAGCAGTTGCTTGATATTATGGATGTGAGATTTTCACTTGCCAATGTCAATATCAATGTCATAGATTTTTGTATAAATAATTAAGTTTGTGACAATGTTGAGTAATTTTTTAAAATTTTAAATATAGGAATAGGTTTTAGCTCAACAGACTGTGATAAATTTTATCAAAAAAAAAAATTTTTTTTTAAATCATTTATGATACAGCTCATTAAGTTTGTAAGTATCGAATTTTTAATTAATTATACAAATTTGTAAAAATTATTCATCACATTTGTAGCTCCCTGATGAAGGACATAACCAATGTCCGAAAGCTTGGAATAAAAATTTAAAAGAGTACACCTTTCATTTTTATTGCTGCATACCCAATATTTAAAGTTTACTTATATATATATATATATATATATATATATATATATATATATATATATATATATATATACCAAAGTATTATGTTCGAGAATATTCGGGAGTAGTCCCACCTCTAATTCGTTATTTGACGGGTGGAATTTTACAGCGCTCGATATATCGCCGAAACTTCTCGGTGCTTCGAGATGCGACCGTTAGGCGGGCCACGCTGAATGCATGTTCGTAACACTGCTCCCCTCTTAGATCTGAGCGTCCCGATGAGGAACTCTATCTATAGGCCCAGGATGGCGGAATCTACAGGACTCTCCAGCTCTGCATGAACCCCTCAGAAAGAAATAACAGTCTACTGTCTTTGAAGAACACGATCTCTTCGGATTAATGCAACACACAGTAATTCTTACACCGGTTTCTCGGAAGATCACTTCAAGCATGCTTCTGACAATCTTCCAATCCAAATTATCTAGTGCATGGCTTATCTTGGGTAAAGCCAAGTTCTTAATGTCGTAATTGCAGACGATTTTCTTTAAATTAATTAGAGCATACCATATATCCACGTAGGTTGCCCTGTCTGTATACGACTTCCTGGTCACCATATACAGCGAAGATCGAGAACCATCTTCTAATCTCAGCACTCTTCCAACTTTAGGCTGCTGGTTTTTTAACTCGTCCAAGCGACCAAATTTCTTATAAAATACGGATGAGATTCCTTTAGTCATCGACCAGTTGGCTCCATGTCTACTTGCCAATATCCACTTTTCAGATCGAGTGTGGAAAACCAACGAGAACCAGAAAGTGTATCCAAAGTATCGTCTATTCTCGGCAAAGGATAACTATCTTTTTTAGTTACCGCATTGAGCTGTCGGTAGTCAATACAAAAACGTGTTGAACCCTCTTTCTTCTTTACTAGCACTACTGGTGATGTCCATGGACTGTTCGATGGTTCAATTACCCTTGTTTGTTCATATCTTTGATGATGTCTTCGGCTTCATCTCTTTTCGCAAATGGAAGTCGTCTAGGTTGTTGTCTGATTGGCTGAGCGTCTCCGGTATTGATTTTATGCTTTACTATGCTTGTTTTGCTATTATCCTTCTTATCAATGGCGAAAACATCTTGAAATTCTATCAGCATAGACTTCACTTTTTTAGTTCGTTCATCATCAAGATCTTGGCACGTTTTAATTATCGTCTCAACAAGCTCCTTAGGATACTTAGATTTCGACAGTTTCTCATTAGTATTCATGGAACAAATCGAAGCCACGGCAACACACTGTCCGATCAAAGTTCTTTTACTTAGCTTAATATCAGTTCCCTTTAAATTCATAACTCTTACAGGAACGACATCTCGAATTCTCACCAAAGCTTTTGTCGTTGGAACTCGGAACTCGGCATTGTTCACATCTTCGACCATCCTTAAACTTCCCTATCGGCAGTAACCATCAGGTCTGGTCATCAAAATTTTCTCACTATTACCGGGTATTGTTACGTCGCAAGTAGTTATTAAGCTGATAACATCTTCTTTCTCTTCATGAAATGGCAACTCTTCACCACTGATCTCGAGAACTCCATCTTTGAGATTCAATACAGCCCCAACTTTCCTTAGTAAATCCATCCCCAATATGAACTCATCGGAGATCTCTGCAATTAATACTCTATGTTTGACTGTGGTCTGGCCAATGGATACTGACATATTAGCCTCGCCATATGTATTAATTATCTTACCAGTTGCTGTTCTAAGCTTTACTGTTGCAGGCGATAATTTAAGATGATCTCGTACTACTTCTGGCCGTGCAATAGTTCTTGTTGCACCTGTATCTACCAAAAACGATCTACATTTATTGTTAATACGAGCCTCGATGTACAAGCTATGAATTCCACCGGAGGACGTACTGTTCATAGTTACTATGGGGGCTGTGTTTCTCGAGGTCGGCAGTTGCCCCTTGGTGTCGATCCGTTCTAGTTTTCCGACTGTTGTATGATTTTCTTGCAATTACGGCGAATGTGACCTACGTCACCACAATTCCAACATCTGGGCTCGCGTCTCTTCGGCATCGTGTTACGAACTACTTTTCGTACCATTTCTTCCAGACGTTCATCGTTTGGTTCGTCGCCTTCTTCAATGGTTCTTACTCGATGGCTGTGAAGTTTGACTAGCTGTTTCATGTTCCAAAGCAATAGCGAGCGCTTCATCTAGAACTTTCGGTCTTGCTAGTCGTAAAGCTTTCTGTAATTCACTTTCTCTTAACCCATTGACGAAGGTATCTTCAGCAATTTCTTCCAAAATGTTGTCTGGTACCTCCGGATAAGCCAACCGCACTATACGAGCAACATCTGCTTCAAACTCTTGCAAATTTTCACTTGCTCGTTGAACTCTACTTCTTAGTTGCGTCTTGTAGACTTGTTGTAGATGGGCATCTCCGTAACGTTTATCTAGTCGAGTGAACAAGGTCTGGTAACATTTTTATTGACCCTTAGGAATCGATCTTAGGATATCCGCAGCGTCACCTCGTAAAGCAGCAATTAAGGAGACAGCTTTTTCTTGTTCTGTCCAATGATTGGCTGTCGCAATAGCTTCAAATTGTCTAAGGTATATGGACCAAGAGGACTTTCCATCAAATGATGGCAATTTGAATCTCATATGATGTGTCGTTTCGTCTCTCGGTGATTCTTCT